TATGAATGTCAACAGACGAAGTAGAGCCGGAGTCACCAAGAGACAATTTTTTCTCAAAAGATAAATTCAATTCTTCAGACAACAACCAAGAGGAGACCTGATTAAAAGTGACGGTGGCAATATTGGTGCGAATATTTTGCTTGAGGGAGGCATAGTCGGCCGGTAGACCTCGTAGAACACAAAGGATAATATCTTGTTCAGAGATTTCTTCATGAGCCAGTTTGAGAGACGACACAATCGTGAGAACCGTGTCCAAATAGGATTGCATCGAATCGGTCCCCTTCGTAACACCATGGAGACGCTCCTTCAACTGAAATATATGAGTTCGTGAAAGAGAGTTGTACCGTTGTTCTAGATGATTCCAAATTGCAAGCGAGGTGGGAAGAGCATGAATATGTGTCTGAACCGTAGGTGAGACAATAGCAAGGAGACAGGCCCGAATTTGAGCGTCAACAATACACCAGGATTCATAGGCCGGATTTGGTTTCATAACCGGCGGTTCATCCTTTCCCGGTGACGCAGCCTTCTCATCAAGAATAAGAGACGGAGGAGACGGTTCAGATCCATCCACATAGCCGAGAAGACGATGAGCGAGGAGATTTGCACGTACAGTGGCTGACCAAGAGGGATAATTGGTGTCATCAAGCTTGACCGGGGTTAGAGATTGGAGATTCCGGACAAACAACTTGAGACCCGTAGGGAGACGATCCATAGGATCAGAAGAGATAGACGCCATGGCTGTGCACGACCTGGTAGGAGAGCTCGGCTCTGCCGATTTTTTTTGATGATTAACGCAGCAAGAAAGGAGAGAAAAAAGGATCTTGGAGCTCTGATACCATGTTGATTTATGAATTCACTCTTAAGAAATAATTGTGTACATGGATGTTTATATAGGTGAGGATCCCTACATGGACTAGGATTCACCAAATAAGTAAACTAACATAAATAACAATTCTGCTATAACTAGACTTCTTTCCATATATGTCTAACAATTATAATCCTACTTAATGATGTTTAATGAATGGGGGACAGCTTACATCATTTTGGTGTGAGAAAAAAAGGGGAAAAGAAAAGGTTTTCCTGCTGTGCTGATTCAATACGTGTGCGATTTCTACAGTTTCAGTTGCCCAATATTTTAGAAAAATATAAAACTTATTAGCTTCCATAATTTGTACACATCATTTTAACACAATTTATTTATGAAGAAACCATGTTCACTTGAACAAATAATATTATATATATAGTAGAGAACCAAAACTCATTTTATTTTATTTTAATTTATTTATTTTTACTCATCCCCACTACTAATTAATCATTAAAGACTAGATTCCAATTTGTTATTTTTAAATAAACAATAGTAACATTTTTTAAGGGACATTTTTTCCATACTTAAATTATAATTTGTATTTGTTTTCAGTCTTTTCTTTTAATTTTTATTTTGTACTAGAAAGTTAAAAGTTCAAAGACCAATTTTCAGGACGTTACATTTTCGAATCAATATGTGAAAAATAGGAAATCGAACCTAATATAAAGATATTTTCGTGTAGTTGGTTTAAAATCAAACTTTGAAAGTTGGAAATAAAAACAATTATGCTGATCGAATTCAGTCGATCTCCAATGTGGGGCTCTTCCTCTTTCCCACAACCTTCCCCATTCATAAAATTGACGTTTATACTCCCTAACCCGCCAGTAATTCCCTTCACTTATCCCATCTCCTTCAATTACATCCCCGAATTTATTAGATTTTGGAGTAAACAATTTGACTCTAAAATTAAATAATTTTGGAAGTACGATTAAAGATGAAAGAGTTGGTTTGGATAAAGTTGGGGTTTATTCGGAGAAGGTAGAAATCCTCAATTCTTTTTCTATTGAGTAAATATACTTGTATTTATAAAATTGTATCCAAAAATGTACTCAAATGTTTGTACCTACATTTTGTGTTAATGTAAGGCTTCACTTCGTTCAACTTATTTTTCTGATGTGATTTTGTGTAGTTCTGATCTGATCTGGTCTGGTCTGATCTGATTAGATCTGGTCTGATCAGATCTCATTAGATCTGATCTGATTGGACCAGATCTAATTTGGTCTGATCTGATTGGACCAGATCTAATTTGGTCTGATCTGATTAGCTGATTTGATCTGCTGATCTGATCTAATTGGATCTGATCTATTCTGGTCTGATCTCATCTCATTAATTATGATTTGATTTAAAATTCAAATCAATAATTTGATTTGACTTTATAATAATGTTTGACAATTGTAATGATAATTCATATTATAACATAATCAATAGTTTTTATTTAATGATTATTTTTTAATGAAATAAAATTAGTTGATTCATATATTAGAATAATCATTCATATTATAATGTAATAATATTTTTTATTTTATGATTATTTTTTTATGAAATAAGAATATTGTTTTAATATTTTAATAATTAGTTCATATATACATTAGAATAAATATTTAATTCATATATATATATATATATATATATATATATATATATAAAAGTAATTAAATTTAGATAATCAATGTAGAGTAGAGATAGTATTTTTATTAAAATATCTCATTTTTATAAAATATCAACTTGTGCTTTGTACTACGAAACCTTTTTTATGATTAATATAACACCATAGATATAATAATTATTTCAGTTACACTAAAGTATAGTCCGTATATGAATATCAAATGCTAATTTTATTTAAGTCATGGTCAAAGTTGATCAACTCGATGTAGTAAAAGATCAAAACTTTAAAAACTCAAATTACAAGGAGCGATAAAAATATATTTTAAAAGTAGAATTAGATTGACATTGTCAATGTATTTAAAAAAAAATTCCGACATCTAATAATTAAGGATTACTTTCTCAGTTTTCTATTTAACTTGTTTCTAAAGTTTATTCTTTTTCATTAATAATAATAATAATAATTCTTGATTGGTTCGAATCAGATCAGATCAGATCTGATCTAGATCTGATATGATCTGATCTAGATCTGATATGATCTGATCTGATGAGATCTGATCTGATCTGATTTTAATAAGAATAAGAAAAGAGCAGAAAAAATAAGTTGAATGGAACGAGACCTAAGTCTAAGATTGATGAGTTACACTGACACAAAAAGCAAATGCAAATATTTGTGATCACAATTACATTTTGTTTGAATGTAAGTTATCAAAATGTAAGTATAAATATTTATGGTATATTCTTTAATGGACCATGCTACACTTACACCAAAAAATATACCCCATTTGTACACCACAGGTTTGCACAAACATTTCGATGGTTTACACCGACACAAGTGTTGGTGCGTTAATAAAAATTCACACGGACACAAATGTTGGTGCGTTTAACAAAAATTAGTTTTACACCAACACAAAGTGTTGGTGCAAAACTGCGGGGTACAAATTAGGGTACAAAACTTGGGGTACATATAGCATAATCCATTCTTTAATACAATTTTGGGGTACACCTAATATTTTCAATATTCCCTACGTACTAACATTATTAAAGTGACACAAAAAGAAGTACTCCGTATTAAATTGAGGTACAAATCTCGAAAGAGAGATAACTTGATCCTTATTTTTTTATTGAATGGAAGTCTCCAACTCTTTCCCCAAATTACTGAAAAAATAGAGATTTGGGAGGTAGAGGCCAGCCAACAACTGGATTTCCATTTCCCGATCTGAAGCCATTCGGAGAGACAGTGGAATGACGGCGTTTGTAAATCTGGAAGATTCTCCTATGTTCCATAAGCAAGTGTGATTTCTACTCTAATTCACATTTCGGTTCTATTTCTTCCCGAGCAATTTGTTCATTTGTGCATTATTTTTTACCCCAAATTTCCAACCTTCTTATGTTTTAGGTAAGGTCTTTGGAACTTAATGCAGATGAACTGAGAGACCGCTGCCAAAAGCTATATAAGGGCTGTAGAAAATACAAGTCAGTACAAAATATCAGCATTGCTTGTGTAGTTGCATGATTTTACTACAATGTATTTTTATTTTGTTACTGTATTAAGTAGATGGAATATAAATTGATGAGGCTAGAATGCTGTGAGTGATCACTATTTTTACTAGAAGTGATGCTAATTTTGTTTTATTAAAGCTAATTGGAAAATTATGATTTATAATTTTACACTCGTCCAGCAAAAAAACTTGGTCAAGGAGTTTAAGAAAAGTGTTGAAAAGTAAAAATTTTGTTGTTAGATTTTGTTTAGAGGATTGAGAGAAGACTTATGAGCCACTCACTTCTTTCTTTAAAAAGAAAGTGATGTTTTTTTTGAAGTTGATATTGAAGTTGCTATAAAGGCATTGTTAGTATCAGCTGAATACATGCCATAGGAAAGATTTTTCTGTTTGGGGACTTTGAAGGCATTCTTGTTGGAAAAGTATCCTAAAGGAAAAGATGATCATGTGCCAGCCTTTGAAAAATGACTTTGAAAGAGGAAGTTTTTTTCTTGAAACAAATAGAGCTTAAAGCTAGGTTCAAAGTGGGAAATGACAATGACCAACTAACTCTCTTCTTATATATGTAAGACTGGCTGTTTCATGCATGTTTTGATATACTATACAAGGAAATGAAGATGACTACGATGTAACAACTACAACAACCGGGTAAGGTCTCCGTAAGTGGGGCTCGGGGAGAGTATATGTACACATACCTTATTCTACCCGCAAAACATAAAACAAACAAAGCACTGGAATTGGTGATTAAAAGCATGAAAGAATGAGTAAGTAACACACTAACAAGTTAGACATAAAAACATGTTAAAAAATTCACAACAGAAGAAGAAAAGTAAAGTATAACAAATTAACAATCTATGGAAAATAGAAAGGATAAGTAAATAGCCACACACAAAAATACAAACTCCTACCAAGGCTCCCCCAGTCCCCCTCCTACATCTAACTCCTATAGTCCGACTTCAAGTTAAAGTGCCCTACATTTAAAACTAATGATGGTTGGTTTGAAATGGAAAGGGCTGTCTCAAAAACTATGTGATCAAAATTAATTATGTGTATGCTACATCGAGTGTATGGTAAAACTAGAAAAGATATATAACGTGCAACAAGCCAACAAAGTGATTCATGGGGAGTGGGTGTAGACATTATTGAATGTAAAGTAAGGACAAACTATTGGTTTGTTCGGGCATCGACAAGGCGTTTTTGCTCCGGGACAGAGAGTGTGGAGTCTTGACACTTAAAGAAAAGTTGTGGTGGACTGAACATTACTTGTACTGATTGTTTAAAACAGGATCTTAATAGCTTGTAACTTGATCAACATATCAATGTGGTGCATCGAAAAAAGAAAAGTAATATGATTTGAGTAGATCACTTCGAAAATGTTTTTAAAATATACTCCCTCAATCCCACCATAAAAGTGGAGAATGCAAAATTAATTTGCAAAAAAAAGTAGTCAACCCCACCTAGGGGCCAGTGGGAGAAGGCTTATTTTTGCACAGAAGATTAAATTTGTCTGCTTACGTTCAGTATTGGTTCTTCATCTTGTCTAGTGTGTATACTAGAATTTGAATTTTTGAATGCATTTGACTGACGTACAATCCTTACATTAAAGAGAAATGTTGGGTTGCATTATATATCTTTTTAACAGTGTATTAATTTCATCAGTGAAACACTAGAGGAAGCCTACAGTGGGGATAATATCTTTGCAGACTCATTGGAGGCGTTTGGTGGAGGCCAAGATGATCCTGTCAGTGTGTCAGTTGGAGGTGACTTAAAATATTTTGGTTGAACATTTTCTATCTTTCTGAAGTGTACTAGTGATAAGACATTCTTTGAGTCTTGATTGTAAACTTTGCTTGAAAAAATTGATATACAAAGTATTTGCTAAAAAGGTCTTCTTCTTTTAAAAAAATTAACTATGCAAATATTTTCCTGCATATGTTTTCTTAGGTGAAGATTTTAGTGTTTTGATTTGGGAGAAAGGCTGAAGTTACTTTAATGAACTTGTACAGGGATTAGAATTAGGTCAACTTGGACAGCAATTCAATTTTCTTAAGAAATATGAAATTCCTGGTTGTGTAAAATGTAGTTATGTAGGCAAATGAAATTACTACAAAATATCAACTTGTCTTAATGAAATGAATCAAATGAGACTGGTTAAAGCATTGGAAGTGGAAAAAACCTATGCGTAACATTTGTAAGAAAAAAACACACATGTATGGAAGGAAATTTTAGTAAAACAGGGAGTCATCACGGAACTAATTCTCATAGAGGAAAAGAAGCAGACAACCTTTGGCAATGACTAGTCGGCACCTAGGAAGCCTAAGATCTGACAACCTTCCGACTGGTGCACCGGATGCATAGTGTGATCTGCAACATCATTATGGTGAGTGTTTTGGATAGAAGAGAAAAGAATAAATGTAAGGAAACACATATCTTTTAGTATCTTACAGATCTGACACTTTCAAGTTTCAAGTAATGGAGCTTTCTCGGAAGTTGGGAGCTGGAGTTCACATTCTTTATTAATCTATCCATTTAAGTGGATTTACATTTATATTAACTGATTCATTTCTAGTGCAACTATGTTGATTAATTTGTTTGTATCTTACAGCATATGGAACTAAAGAATTGATAGCTCTTTTCAACATTTTTCTCTATCCCCAGGCCCAATTATGTCAAAATTTGTTTCTGCATTTAGGGAGATTGCAACATATAAGGAACTTCTTCGTTCTCAGGTAAATCCAGATATCCTGTATTTAATCTAATTCCAGCTGGAAAACATACACCAGACCGACTGACCAAGTATCTTTAAAACAGTCATATTACTAATTTTTTTGGCTTTATAATTGCTAAAAGCTATCACTGATTAATTTTTGAGTCCTTTCTATCTCTCTCTAAGTGATGCAGAAGAGAGAAAAATTGTGAGCCACTCAAAGTTTTACAAAAAAAGGAAAGAGGAGGCTTTTTTGGGACGTCCCATAAAGGAGATAAGGAGTCTTTTTTTGGGACGGAGGGAGTATTAATCAATGCATTGCTTTCCGTTGGGTTTTGCTTCACGATATTTATGATGCCTTTAATACAATATATGTAATAACTTGTTGGTTAATGATGGAATTCAATGTGAGATGTAACATACTGTCATATTGTATAAAGCTTGCACGCATTAGTGGTTCTGTTATCATTTGCAAACTGTGTTTTAATAGTTCATATAGTGAACATATGAATATGCATGTGGAAATAGCCTATGATGATGGTTTTAGAATTTTCATCTCTTTATTCCTTCTTATGATGGTTGTGAAGGGAAAGGCATCCAGCACAAAACATTGCACACTATGCCTTTTGCATTAATTTATAGTGTTACCTAACTTTACAAAATTATTTGGTACTCGATGTTTAATGCCGTAAATCACAACTAGTTGGGATTAAGGTGTTGACTATGATGATGATAAGTGAAAATATAACCTTCTTTCTTCCCTAGGTGGAGCATGTACTGATTGATCGCTTGACTGAGTTTTTGTCTGTTGATCTGCAAGCTGTCAAGGTAAAACAAGATTCAAGGCCAATTTTGTGCTTAATGTCCAGATGTTGAGGATGTCATTTAAGAAATGAGTAGCCTTTGTCTCAATTCTTGCTTTATTCTTTAGAAAAGAAAATTGAACTTTGAGGCTTTGATATCATATTTGACAATTGGGCATTTTAGGCATCTCCAACCAGCACCTAATTGGCACAAGTTTTGGTGTTTTGGAGCACAACATGCTCCAACCCATGTGCCATTTTCTTTGCTACTTCACGAAAATGGTGAAGAATAAATGTCGAGTCAAGTAGGCTTTGTATTGTAGTGCTGCACCATTTGCATGTTATTTCAGTTTTCTTTGCTTGTTTGACAATGAAGTAACGTAAGATATTTAATACTACCTCCGTCTCTGAGTATTTGTCCAATTTTGAGTTTTTTCGGTCAACTATTTTCAACCTTTGACCTATAATTAAATAAAATATATATATTAATTAGATAAAATAATATTTTGAAAATATTTGATATAATAAATCAAATAAACTATTTTGTATTAATATCTAACATAAATTTTATTTAATTTGAGGTCAAAGTTTACCAGTTTTGACCGAAAAAAGTCAAAAGTGGACAAATACTCAGGGGCAGAGAGAGTATACTAGTAGTATAATTAAGAATAATATACAATAAATTTATGTGCAAATTAAAAGCAAAATATTTAATAATCAAGTAAAATAGAATCTAAAGGAATGGTGATAAAACATGTGTAAATAATGGTTGCTCGAGCAAAAACAGTGTTTGGACTATGATTTGATGTTTACACTATTTTGGTGTAAAAATGGTGATGTTGGCCACATCTCTTTTATTATGTAATACTCTGCCTAGCATCTGGATAGAAACCTATCTCATATGGCAAAAGGGGGATATATTGTATCCCTTTGCCTTTGCCCTTCAGTAGAATTTGAACAGTGTCTTAATACATTCATAGGAAGTGTTTTTGTGTCTCCCTATTCTGCAACTGACCTGTAATGATTGTTCCTTGAGTGTGTTATCAACATCATGATTTACTAAAAGAATGGTCATTTATGATTAAATTTAGAATAGGGTCATTATATTTAGCTTAAATTTTCAACTTTAGCGGATGCATTATTATACTATTGCTGGTATTGATACCCAAATTCGAATCAGATCCTAGACTCATTGTACATTGTTGCTGTTACTGCAGGAATCTCGTTACAGATTTGATAAGGCTGATTCTGCTTATGACCAGGTAGTTGTTCATGCCTTGACAAGCAAATAAAATTATCTGTGCTTTTGTTTAATTTGGACTATTGACCTTGATTTGGGAAGCAGTTGATTTTTATTAATTTATTTTCCAATCCCCCGAATTACATCAACAGTGACCTTTAACAAAATGTACTCAACTTTTTTATATTTTACTAAACTTTACTGAACCTTTTTTCTGGGTTTGTTTTTTTGCCTTTCTGAAAAAAAAACACAATCCGATTACTGATTTTTTTACTGCATTTGTTGTGATGAAAACAAAAAAGATCCAAAAAGCACAAGGTGAAGAGAACTGAACCTTATTCACGCTAACTATATTATTGATTGTAATCTATATTGTTCATTATTTGCGTTTGGTTGTTTGGTCACTTAAAAGTGACTGCAAAACCAAAGTAATCATTTTTTTAAATCGAAAAGGTCAATCAGTTTTCTTTTTGTTGGTTTAGATATTGATAGCTGGTTGGCAGTTGGAATAACCTCTACCCTTGGTATGTGGTATGTGGCATGCCACTCTTCATTCCGGCAAAAAGATAGAATATCCAAGATATTTAATCTGCTTTAGAAAAAATTTAGGATTTGAGGCTTTGATACTGATAGAACTTAGGATTGACCTGGAAAATAAATAAAGGAAAGTTTTTATTAAATTATGAATTCAGCATCTAACTTCATAAAATAATAATAGAAAAATCTGTATTAAAATATGAGTAAGAATCTTAAACTCATATAAGTAATAAAGCTAAGGAGAATCTCCAATGATTAAATACTGTGTAATCTTCTATCTTCAATACACATGACTAGATGTCTATTTATACAAAGAGACTCTAACTTCTACTAGTAATAACTTACTCATAACCACCCACTAACAATGTGGGAATAACTTACCCTAAACCTCCCACTAACTAAGTGGGAAAAACTGACCCCTAACTTCCCACTAAGTGGAATTAAAGAATTATTAAATGATAAATATGAAAAATAAAAGACTCAACAAATAATTAAATAGTGCTAATTTCTTAAATAAAATATGACTTAACCAACCAGCCTGGAACCTATCAGATACCATGTAGGTTGATAAATGTTATATTGTATTTTAATTAGAAAACAAATGTACTGGGATGTATACATATATATAGCTAATGTATAAGTTGGGGTGGGCCTACCATTTCTAGTCTTGACATTCAAATATTCAATGGAGAATACAAGAGCAATTAACAAATTTCATTTTGTGAGCAATGTTTCAAATTCTAAAAATATCTGAGAATTTTTATAATCACCTAATTACTTCTTTGTTAGGCCAAAGTTTATTCTCTTTGATAATTATAATTCTATTGAATGACTTCCAAATTCTAGATTGATCTTCACTCCAATTTGAAATCTAGATTTGTCTGTCTTATCTAGATAGCGAGAAATGGTTGCTACGTGATTGTGTATTTCTGGCTTCGTTTTCTTATTCTGACCTAGTCTAGGCAAGTGACAATATGTGAGCAATGTTCCATGAAACAAAACGCACTTGAAATGACATTCAACTAGTGTATTCACTGTATTGTCTAAATAGATCATAGCAATGTGACATACTGTTTTGTCTAGAAACACTAAATTCAGCTTGTCAAGATGCTCTACCTCTTTTTTCCTGGGGTTTCATCTCTATATTAACAAATTCTGGTTATCAATGAAATGCAAGGCACGGGAGAAGTTCGCCTCTTTAAAGAAGAGTACACATGCTGATGTAGTAACTGGACTCGAAGAAGTATGTTTTCATCTTAATTACTTTATTCTTATGTATGCATGTTTATATGTTGTTGCTCATCCCCTTTTTCTAAATTAGCCGCATATCTACGTGTTACTAAGTGGAAGTAGTTGGAAAGAGCAACTAAGCATGATCAGGTTTATGATACTTTCAAGCTAGTGATGCAGGAGGGGGGTAAATAGCTTTTTTGTGCCCAAAAAGCTGTTCGAATGAAACAAGTGGGTTGACCTATTCGACTAAAAGAGCTTTTTGTAAAAAAATTATAATATTAATCTTTATATTTTATGAAAAATGCAATTATTACTCTTAACGTAAAGAAATCTAAAAATTTAGCATCATAAATTTTAATTGTGCAATTGTCATTTTTAATGTTATACATGTAATTTTACCTTGAATGAAAATATGATGATTAAAAGTATTTGAGCCCTAGTAAATAATGAACGACAATTTGAGGCCTTCACATAATAATATAGCTCTAACGTAAATAAAATGTATTTATAAAAATACATACATACATACATATACATACATACATACATACATACATACATACATACATATATATTAATAACATATTATAATAACTTAAAAATTATAGAGTAGATTTATAGACCTTAGGCACATTCTATAATTTTTTTATTAAAACCAGAATTTTGCAATTTTTAGACAAATATGTCCAATAAAAAAGATAATAGAATAAGGGACAAAATGTGGATTTTATCAACAAGCTATTTTGACAAACAACAACCCATTAGAATCTCACAAAAGTAAGTTTTGGGGAGAGCCGAGAGGATGCTTCCAAAGATACCCCCGACTCAAGCAGTACCACAGGTAATCACGTACGCAACCTGGCCCCTATGCTTAAAACATAGAGTGGCTGTGTCTGGATGACCCATGATGAGCGTCGAAAGCTGCATTGACTAACTTTAACTTCACTATTAAAATAAGCGCATATAATTTAAAAAGCCATTTTGCTTTATTCCATCATAACCCAAAGCCAAAAAATAATGAATCTTTGGCTCCATCGGAGATGCTGGAAAAATATTTTGACAAACACTAATTTTATTACACACTTGTTCTATATAGCTTATCTGAACAGGAAACGCAATAACCTAATTTAAACAGCTAATCCAAACAGCTAATTCATACGGCTAACCATTAATGGCTAACATCCGTGCACCAAACACCCCTAGTATCTTCAGAAAAGCAGAAAATAGTTAGTGGTCAAAGTTGCAAGCACCAATATGGTTGATCATTCATGCTTAGCCTTTTTTTTGCTTATTTAAAAGACTATGTTTTTGGTTCCATCTGTTGCAGGACCTACACAACTCAAAGTCAGCTTTCGAAAGAAGCCGCTTTAATTTAGTAAGTACGGTGCATTATTAACACGTTTGTCTACTCCATGTTGTAGATGCAATTTCTGCTTACATATCACCCCATAGACCGTACTGAGTGGGACTTGCTGTTTTAGTTTTATTTGGTGCATTGCTAACAAGTTGGTAGTTGCACCATTGAAGAACATTATCACTATGCTCTAGTCTTATTTCCTTGTTGATTGTACCTTGTAAGGAATTCAGGCAAATGCTCTCATGAATATTGAAGCAAAAAAGAAGTATGAGTTCCTGGAGTCTATTAGTGCAATTATAGATGCTCATCTAAGATACTTTAAGTTGGTGCGTCTCTCCTTTACTGATATTTACATTACTGGTATTATTAGACTATTCGCAACCTCCTTCATCACACTGACCATACAATTCCGTAACGCATTTCAAACAGGGATATGAATTGTTGAGCCAAATGGAACCATTCATTCATCAGGTACTGTCTTCAATTTAGAAACAACAAGTTTAGCTGCTTTCCCAAGCCAAATATTCTTTATATCCAAGCGTTATTACGTTGGTTTCTAGTGTTACTAGAGATTTAGAAGTGTCTAGGATTAATGTTTAATTCTGTGTATTCAGTTGCGAGAGAAAACTCCATGTATACCTGTTAGATGTGTTACAAAGAATCTTGGATATGTTAGACAAATTTCTATTATTGTTTGTATATATTTATAGCCAATTTACTTTCCATAACCCTCTACCTTAAGTTGGAGTATAGATATCGATCATGCTCAGCTTGCTAAATAAATAATCAACGAGACTCATGTCTTTTGGAAATCGTCTTTCCTGTGTGACAGTCCTATATGACTACAGAATCAGCAAAAAAAGGCTATGGAACAGTGAAGAGATGTGGGAACCCTTACTGAGGCAAGGTTAATGGAACTAGTAGGGACGAATAAAACTTATGTAACCCTACTGACGCTTTATTCTTCCAACTTTTTCCAACTTCTTCCAGTTTCTTCCAACTCCTTCTAGTTCCTTCCAACTCCTTCTAGTTTTCTTCCAACACCGACTTAAAAATGGTATTTATATTTGATGAATATATAATAACATTATATATCTAAATTTATAACACACCACCTCAAACACGGACAATGAAGAACTCTTTTTTATCCAAAAATAGAGTTTCTTACATATTTATTTGGGTGATCATTTAATTGATTGACTTTTTACACTTTAATTCTTCCAACGTTTTCCAACTCTTAGTTTTTTTCCAACTCCTTCTAGTGTTTTCCAACTTTTTTCGGTTTCTTCCAACTTTTTCCAGTTTCTTTTAACATCCAACTCTGGAATTCCAATCCAAAAGAACAGGGTCTGAGACAAGGTTAATGGAACTAGTAGGGACAAATCAAACATGTGTAAGACGTAAAGATGTTTGACCAATGGTTCTTCCATCTTTAGTGGCTGGTGTTCAGAGTGCATTTGGATTGTGATGAGGGACAAGTTGCCTTCTGTAGAAATATTGGATAAAATAGAAGGTTTCTTAGACATATGGTCAGTTGCACAAGAGTCAAGGATACAAATGTTTGACGTATTTGAGACACATGCAATGGATGAGCTTAGGGTGGATACGGAGGCTTTGAATTTTGGATATGATGCAAGCTCATCAGCTGTATCACAATTGAGGGGAAAGAACTCTGAGCATGATTGCCAGAATTTGTAGTTTTTCAGTGCAACTTTCACCGTTTATCTTTAGTGTGCCCATTTTTATGATAGTTATTAGTATTATTATTATTATTATATTAGTTAAGTCTTGAGAATATGGTAGGCTTTGATTTAGGCATTAATAGGGGTGATTTAGTTTCGTTATATTAGCACCCTTCTTATGCATATATAGTCACTTGTATTATGTAATTAGGAATATGGTGAAAATGTCGGATTATTGACTACATGGTTTCAAAGCAAGGTTGTTCTAGGGTTAGGGTTCACTCATTAGAAAAAAAGTTGCTGCCATTTTGATGTTGCCTCTAGCGGTGCTTGCGTGATGTCACTGCTGTTAGATATAATCGGGTTTGTTCACATATAACCGAATGGGTAATGAGTCAATGTTCGGGTTAGTTAGTATAGAGTCATTTAGTGTGGTGTCGTTATGTGTATTTTACATATTTAATTAATTTTAAAAACAGTGGGTAGTTTCTAAAAGGCAGTTATGGGTAGTTTCTATTGTTAATAGGTGTGTTGGTTTGTAATAGTTGTGTTAGTTAGTAAAAGTCATGTTGGTCTGTTCTCTAATTATATTTAGAGAACACAAATAATCCTGTACAGTTTTACATCAATAAAATATTCTACTTTGCTTTGATTTGGTTGGTTGGTCCTGTCTAACAATTGGTATCAGAGCAAAAAAATCCAATAAGGACCCAACGAATAAAGGGAGCGGTCTGATTTACGATCAGAGGGTGTGCGATCAGCGGCAAGAAAAGGGAGATCTGCCAGATCGTATAATGGAGCATTAGAGATTTCCGTGACAACAAATCAAAAATCTTCGACAAGATTCTTCCTCACCTAGGACAAGAATAGCAAGTGGCTATTTTTTCCTTTGGCAGAAGCATTCTAACCAAACAGTCCGGGAAAAACGAATCAGCGGGGTAGCTTTCGTTTAGTGGCTTCGAAGGCGGAAAAGCAGGGGCTTGTCTTTTGGTTGATGGTCGGTCGATTGCAGGTGGCTTACGACCCAGGAAGGAATCAAAGTCTAAGAATTTTGTGAAAATTGTCATAGGAATTAAAGTCGTGCAATGGAAGACAATAGGCAGATTGTGACTACAAGGGAGAATGGTTCACTATCTTTTACGGTTACAATTCTAAGTGCTACAAACTACACTATTTGGGCTGTGAAGGTCAAAGCAATTTTTAATGTTAATGGGATTTGGGAGGTGATCGAACCAGGAACAGAAATTGATCCAAAGAAGAACAATATGGCAATAGCATATCTGTTTCAAGCTTTGCCGAAAGAGATCATGTTACAAGTTGCCCAGTTTACTGAAGCAAAAGAAATTTAAGATGCTTTGAAGACTCGCTTTGTTGGTGTTGACAGGGTTAAAGCGGCGCGATTACGGACACTTGAATCAGATTTTGAGACTCTAAAGATGAAGAACAATGAGTCACTTGATGATATTGCTGGTAAAATTAGTCAACTTGCAACACAAGCAAACAACCTTGGGTCTGCATTTGAAGATAAAAGATTGGTTCGAAAGCTTTTGGGTTCTGTACCTGAAAAGTTCATGCAGATCGTTGCTGCAATTGAACAGTTTGCCGACATTAACACAATGCCATTTCAAGAAGCGGTTGGAAGATTGAAAGCATTCGAGGAACGCATCAAAAGGCCAACTGATGAAGTAGATACACATGGTAAACTACTCTTCACTAAAGGTGATGGAAAAGAGAAGGTTCAGGAGCACAAATGTGAGCATTGTGGTTGCTGGAGCTTAAACCGAGAAGACTTTGGACGTGGCCGAGGTAGAGGTCGGGGGTCCGGGAAAGGTCAGGATTATGGTCGGTTTAAGCGGGATAATAGTCACATTAGGTGCTTCAAGTGCAATGAGTTAGGGCATTTTTTGAACGAATGTCCAAAATGGGATCAAAAGGAACAGATTGCAAATTTGATTGAAGATGATGAACCAACGTTGTTGTGAAGATCAGTGTGAACAAACAACGATTAAGGGCGTGATTGTTAGATTTAATCGGGTTTGTTCACATATAACCGAATGGGTAATGAGTTGATGTTTGGGTCAGTTAGTATAGAGCCAATTAGTGTGGTGTCGTTTAGTGTGTTTTACATATTTAATTAATTTAAATAAAAAATAGTAGGGCAGTTTCTAAAAGGCAGTTATGGGTAGTTTCTATTGTTAATAGGTGTGTTGGTTTGTAATAGTTGTGTTGGTTAGTAAAAGTCATGTTGGTCTGTTCTCTATATATATTTAGAGAACACAAATATTCCTGTATAGTTTACATCAATAAAAATTCTATTCTGCATTTGATCTGTTCTTCCTATAATTTTTCAAACAACTGCCACATTGGGTGGGTCGCATGTTGCAAGAGAACAAGTCTGGAGAATCTCTCGTTCGTCAGAGGCCTCCCGTTTCCACTCCTGGTCAAATCCCTCGTCGAAAAACCACTGTTAGGGTTGCCTCAGTCATCTAAGCACGTGTGTGGACTCAGTCTGGACATCCAGTGGGTGGTTTTCTTTTATTCTGTCTACTGTTCAATGATCATTTGCTCATATGATGGCATTTACGGATTCAGGTAAGGATAGTGCTTGTCTTGTCTCGTCTTCCTCCAAGTGGGTTATTGATTCCGGAGCCACAGATCATATGTGGGTAATCCTAGTGTCTTTTCTACTTCTCATCCCCACATATCTCATTCCTCTGTTGCTGACTGTTCCACGGCTAAGGTCCTCAACCAAACTTCTTGTGTTGATACTCCAGCCCAAATGGTGTAGCTGAACGTAAAAAACGACATTTGCTTGAAACTGCACGAGCACTCTTGTTTCAATCAAAAACGTCTAAGTTGTTTCGGGCTAATGCTGTTGCCACAACACGTTTCTCGATTAATCACCTCCCACCGGATGTCCTTGGTGGTCAGCCACTCAGCCCCCATTTCATAGTCTTTTCCTTGATAAACCACTGTTTCCTATCCCACCAAAGATTTTTGGATGTACACGTTTTGTATGAGATGTTCGTCCATGTTTTAACTAGATCCAAAATCCTTGAAGTGCATCTTTTTGGGATACTCGCGGGTCTATAAGGGATATCGTTGTTATTGTCCTAGTCTTAGTCGATACCTTGTCTTCATCGATGTGAGTTTTCATGAGCTTGTTGCATTTTCTTCATCACTAGATCCTTAAATGAGGGTGAGGGTTCAGATTATATTTTGTTCTACACTACATCTAGTCTACATTCGTGCCCTCTATTATTGTGCCTCATATTACTCAGGTTTACTCTCGCTGAAAAAACCCAGCCGCACACTCACCTACACCTGCTCCACCCTCACTCATCCAAGTAGCAACTAGACTAGGCTAGTTACCACTTGAGAGGGGGTGCTAGAGTCCGTGTGCTGGGCTAATGTTCCCACACCGAATAATCAATCAAGACTACACTACCATATAAGAAAAGGTGAAGCACTACCTATTAGCTTAGGCTTTTGGTTAGAAAGTGGATCTCGACTTTATATGAGAAAATGGTCAAATATCACCCGACTCCAGTTCACTCGGCTGACCGACCGAAAATCCAACAACATGGATTAAAACAAAGCCCTCGTGCATGGTATGGAAAATTCAGCCAAGTAACGGAGCGATTTGGAATGGTAAAAGAACAACATTCTTACTTTTATAATTGGTCTAGTGGTGGAATTATCTTCTTGGTTGTTTATGCAGTGGTTGTTTATCTTCTTGCGTTATCCGTCCCCAGGCGTGAGGGAAACCATTTTTGGTGTGTCGCGACACTTTTGAACTCAAGTGAAACAATCTGTTTCTGTTTCTGTTTCTGTTTTTTGGTGACATCTGTGTCCTAGGTTGGACTTCTGGTACCTATGGTACATTTGGTCACTTTTGAGAGGAAATCTGCTATCTTTGCACATCTGATTCTGGTGCTACTACTGTCTTCTGAGAGAATTCAAGTCAAGGTGGAGATTTGTTGGAATGCCTTGAATTCTAGCCCATTTGACTAGTCAACAATGGCTGCACCTGGCTGGAAAGTGGCTGCAAACTGCTGGAGAATGGCTGTAAACTGGCTGGAAACTACCGGGAAAGTAGCCTTGACAAATGGACAAGCTGGTGGCTAGTTGGTGAGGCGGGCAGCTGTATGACGGCAGTGTTCTGGGCTGTCAACAGCTCACTTCCCCCTTGATTTAGGCAGCCAAGTTGGCTGCCATCTTTCCTTATATATAGGTTCATTTGTAAGGCATTATTAATTATGGTAGTTACCTAGAAAATCCCTCTGTAATCTCTCTCCCCAATCAGTAAAAGATCTCCTCTCTTCTGTTAGGTGGACGTAGCCAACATATTGTTGGTGAACCACGTTAAATCTGTGTGTGTTTGTTCTTTGGTTTCTTTATTGTTTGTTATCTTTCTTACATCCGTCATAACAGTATCTTTGGCCAAATGACCGGATTGATATTGACCATTGAACCACATCTCCACAAAAATGACGCATGTTTGCAAGGCATAAGCATATCGTAAATACGCACAGGCATAAGCATAAATAGAAAGACTTTACATGGACTATAAATCGGGAACGAGGGATTAATTTCTCAGAATTAAAGTTGCATGGGTTTTGCAAGGCATAAGCATATCACAAATACACTATCTATGCCTTGGATATATTAAAAGAGACGGGCATGACGGATTCCAAAACAAACTGAACATTATCCGTTAAAAAACATGTTATTGATTGATTTGCACATCCCTTAATTTCACCAAGAGGAAATTGTAGTTGCTTGCACTACTTTTGGGACAACCTTAGGTAAAAGGGTATCCTAGAGCTATATTGACAGTTATGTGATTGATCTATAATTCTATTATGGAATCAATCAGCATGGTATTTTCTTTTGAGAAGTTGATGGAACCCACTCCTTCTGAGCTGTCTCTGGATGTTGATGGTGACAACAGTCTGTAGTTGCACAAAAGTTGTTTTCTTAAACTTTTTTTTGTTGGCATACTTGTCAAAGTGTTCCAAATGTTTCTTCAACTTATGATTTTGCATCAATGCCTATCGTGTAACACCACAGCATCTTTTTATGTGTGCTTTACTATTTTGTTTTCATAATTAGGTTTTGACATATGCCCAACAGTCAAAAGAACAGACGAATATCGAACAAGACAGGCTTGCCAGAAGGATTCAGGAATTTAGGACACAGGCAGAGCTAGATCTTATGCAGGCATCTAGTAACATTAGTACTCCAGCAAGTAATTTTCGTGCTAATGGGGTTGGTATGAGTTCAAACAAAAATATAGAAGCAATTATGCAGTCCAGTGCAAATGGTGAAGTAAGTAGTGCCTATAAAAGTGTTGCCTTTTTGTATATTTATTATTCTTCACCAAAATGACTGCTAAAAATATCATTCTACTTGTAAATAATCTAATTTTAGATAACCGTCTATATAAAGATAGTTGTGAAATTAGTCTCTACCCCATCTAAGTTATATTTATTTTCCTCCATATGGTGTATTTGCTAGACTTTGAACTCTGGTAATTTACTTTCAAATGCCAATGTGCTCTATACCTCCAGGTCCAAACAATCAAGCAGGGATATATTTTGAAAAGATCTACAAGTTCGAAGGCTGATTGGAAGAGGAGATTTTTTGTTCTCGACAGTCTTGGCAACTTATACTATTATAGGCACAAGGGTCCCAAACCAGGGGTAAAGTAATTTTGTCTCTTCGCTATCTTGTTTGATGACTAAATATGTACTTCTAGTTTCTCACGAAGTCTTATACCACCTAATCAATTATAACATTCCTTTTCATAGAAGAGGGTGTTCCATATGAATCATAGTTTTGATGTGGTTGTCATATTAGTGATGTAGACATATTATATATGGTGTTGCATTCTGTCCTTTTGCTTACCACCATTCAGAAGCTACGACCATCTCTATTTTCCTTGAAGAAGCAATGCAGGCCATCAGAAACATAGTATCTAGTCTTCAATTTTCTTTTGATTGCAAAAGAAAGGGGAGGGTGTGGTAAATTGGTTGGAGCATCAACATTTCTCCCTTCTCACGGAGGATCGATTCCTTCCCCCCTACTCTCCCCCTCTCTAATATCCCTTGGGTCAATCCGAAAATTTAAGAAAACAAAGAAAGGGGGGCACTTATATATATTTATATATAATAATAATAATAATAATAATTTTTCATTTGATTAATTTTCAAACTAATATTCATTTTACCATACTATTTTCTCAATTTGTTGAATGACAGTTGTATAATATATGCATACAATGTGACATCAATAAAGTGGTAAATTATGCCTAGATGTTATGTGATCACCCCAAAATAGAAATTAGTGCAAGGAGTAAGGGAAAGTGTATCTATTTTGAAAATGATATACCTTCGAAGTGTAATGGTCAATGGTTGACTCTGGCATTGAGTCTGACCTTTTGCACTTAAAGTATATTTCCCGCATCTATTAAATTCATGATTAGTCGAATGCTCGTGATCATTAGTGATATTATCAAATCATGATTCTGGTTAACTAAAAACTTTTTTCTCCCCCCACTTCATAAAAAGAATCATGTTTCATAAGTGCTCATTTTTTTAATTTTGTAAGGTTGAAAACAAAGAAGTTTCTTGTATTTTAAAATTTATTTGATGGTTTAACTAAATTTAACACATTCAACTTGTTTGGGACATTTTTTATTTATAAAATAACAATAAATATGACCAAATTTAAGTTTTTGTAGTTCAAATAGGACTCATATTTGTGACAAAAGTAAATTTTCAGACCAGAATCTTTTTTTTGGGAACACAGGGTATTTAGTGATGTTTTTATTGGCAGAATGAACTATTTTCTGTTGACTTTCATATGAGGTGTCTTTATACTTTTGAATAAAATCCTCCACATCTAAAAATCCATTCATAATTTTGAATACCTATCTGAATCAGTCTGTACTCCTGACCATTAGTGATATTATGAAATCCCCATTCTGTTTTTTGTTTAAAAAACTCTTATAAAGATGCATTTATTATTCGGCTAGGTTCAATGGCCACTCATTCTGAGTGGCCACGAAAGCCACTGCCACTCTTCGATGCTCCGTTCGTAAAATTGATGATTCCTAGTTTCCTACCTCTCCTAACCTCCCAGGTAAACCCCCCGCCCAGTCCCGACCCTAACCCATCCCCCCACCCATGTCAATTTCATCCCGTAGGTTTAGTTGACTTTAAAGTCAATTTTTTTACTTTAAAGTCAACTAAAGTTGCGGGGTGGAATTGACATGGGTGGGGGGATGGGTTGGGGTCGGGATTGGGCGCGGGGGGGGGGGGGGGGGGGGGGGGGGGGGGGGGGGGGGGGGGGGGGGTTATCGGAGGGGTTAGGGGGGGTAGGAATCATCAATTTTACGAACGGAGCACCGTAAGTATCCGAATCAGAACAGTGGCTTCCGTGGCCACTAAAAAACTATGTCCATAGAACCGGCCCGTTTACTATTTATATAGTTAAAATGGACGATTCTCTGTTGACTTGTTTGAAGAAATCTTCTTATGAAAATCCTTTTAGTTATGCTTCCTTGTATCTTTTGTTTCACTATTTTGACAAATCTTTAGTTAATCAAAACCCTAACTTGCAACATCATTGATGCTGCTGAAGATGTAATGTTCTTTAGGAAATTTTATATTTGTTTCCACTACTAACGTCTGTTGGGTTATTCAGTGAAGGCTTTAGAGCTTTGGGCTTTAAGCCCAGTCGGTTAAAGGGAAGAAATATGGGGGGCCGGTTTTAGTTATTAATTAAAGGGCCCATTAGTTGTTTCTTGTTTAGCAAGTTGTTAACCCTAATTTATATCTTATAAATACCCAATCATGTAACTATAATCTGTGAGCACCTAATAAAAGATAAACCCTAGTTGCAACCCGTGGAGTAGGTTACTGACCGAACCACGTTAAATCTCGTGTTCTTATTTTCTGCTATTTGTGTGTGTGTGTTTGTTCGCTTCCGCTTGACCGCCTCTGATCTCTGATTCCTAACAAGTGGTATCAGAGCCTTGGTTCGGTTAAACACACGGTTACACAGGATCAATCGCAGGAAGAAGGCTGTTCAAGATTGTTTTTGCTGCTGTTTTGCTGCCGCGGTTAAGGGGCTGGTTCGGATCTAATCAGATGCTGGTTTGGATCTGGTCAGGGGCTGTTCGGTCGGTTTTGGGTGAACTTGGCGATTAGGGTTTCTGGTTTTGGACCT